CACATGTCTCTCCCTCATTCAGGAAAAATAATTGCATATCTCCCTCTGAGAGGAATACAACAGCTCTGCCAGTGCCAGTCGCAAGTGTTGCTGCGAGTTCTTCCGTCACCCTCATGGGCAGCACAGCAATTACGAACTAACTACTTTTTTTTTTACCTCTACGACTCACCCACGGCCTAAATAATAATGATAATAATGATAATACTAATAATAATGATAATAATATGATGATGATAATGATAATAATAATAATAATAATAATAATAAACGCAGAGAAAGCTTGATTTAAAATTCGCGCGCCTGCTGTGACCAAGGCTGAAATGACGTCACAGTAGACGTTTGAGACCGATGCTGCTGTTGTGTGACTCGGAATCGACTTAATCTTTCAGACGACAGATGGCGATAGAGGCGTCACAGGAGATGCTATGGCGCAGCAGAGGAAGTTTCAAGTGCCATTCTATTCTTCAGAAAATTTATACGATTCGGTAGCGGGAGGGATGGCTTTGATATAGTCAAACACAAGGATAATAGTATGGATGAATAAATGAAGAAGGGAAAGAAAGTGGGTGACAGATGGAGACCACGAATAATGAACGAAACAGAGAGAGAGAGAGAGAGAATTAGGAATGGTCGTTTTAAAGAGAGGAGGAATAAATGTGTGAGAGTGAAAGGACGAATAAGAGAGACTGATAAAGAAAGCGAGAGAATTAATATTTTCAAAAAGACAAATTTGCTGAAAATTGTTTAAGAGGAGTTAGGGACGGCATGCGGAGACGCTATCAATTCTGCTGCACTTTTTTTTCAAATTCAAATTTTGCAACATGATAGTAGCACGTCAACGGGAGTGCATAACCATAAAAAGAGTGCCTTTCGGTTTTATATATCCAAAAATCTTGATTTGCCAAAGCTGCGCAATATTGATAAACATAATATTAAATATTTACGAAAACCAGAAAGATTTTGCTCGTTGTGCTTTATCAAATGAATGCCCATTCCCTGTAGAGCAGGAATATATATATGAATATAAATATATATATATATATATATATATATATATATATTATATATATAATATATATATATATATATATAATGTATTATGTATGTATGTATGTATGTATGTATGTATGTATATATATATATGTATGTATTAATATATTATGTATGATATATATAATAATATATATTGCATATTTATATATATTATTAGCATATATATATATTGATATATATATATTGCATATATAAAAATATCATCATATATATATTTATACATAAATTATACTATAATACATAATTATACATACATGCATACATACATATATATATATTATATATTTAATTATATATATATATATATATATATATATTATAATATATTTTATATATATATGTATGTATATATATATTTACATAAATATATATGTATATATATATATATACATATATGTATATTTTTTATCATATATATATATACATATATATATATATATATATAATATATATATATATATATATATATAATATAATATATATATGTATATGTATATATTACCACACACACACAAACACACACACACACACAACACACACACACACACACACACACACACACACACACACACACACACACACACACACACATATATATATACATATATATATATAATATATATATATATATTATATATATATATATATATATTATAATATATATGTGTGTGTATGATTCGTGTTTTTATTACACCTTTAATCTTCACGCATGGAAGATTTCAGAGATATGAATCATTAAGACCAAATTTTGTGAATAATTAAACTATTAAAGCCAATCTCAGATCAGGGTCAAGAAATGCGATTACCTCAGTTCATTACTGATTTATTTACTAAATGTTTACATAATATTTTTTTACACAATTTACATTTTTGTTTAGGATGAAAAATAAAATGGATGACAATACCTTCAAAAAACGTAAATTTAAGCAGAACAATAGTAACTATTATATTTACAGAAGAAAAAATATTTACGAGTATGTAAAGAATATATTTAGAAAATATAGTTATAAAAAATATATTTCATAAAAAGATATTTAGAAAATAGATTTAGAAGAAATATTTTAAAATATATTTTATAGAAAAAATAATTTAGAAAATAGATGACAATGTCTTTAAAAACGCAAACTTAAGCAGCACAATCGTAACTGTATTATATTTACACAAGAAAATATTTACGAGTATGTAAAAAAAAAATATTTACGAGTATGTCATGGATTATATGCTCTAAGAAATCAATTAAATCCAGGGAAGAATTAATAAAAAAAAAAAAAAAAAAAAAAAGCGCTGGGATTTTTTCACCAACAAGAAACTTATATTCACACAAGAAAAACTTACGAGTATGTAAAAAAAATATATTTACGTGTATGTCATGGATTATTACGAGTATGTCATGGATTATATGCTCTAAGAAATCAATTAAATTCACAGGAAAAATTAATTTAAAAAGCAAAAGCGCTGGAATTCTTTCACCACAAGAAACTATTTATATTCCCAAGAAAATACTTACGAGTATGTAAAAAAAAATATTTACGAGTATGTAAAAAAAAAATAATTACGAGTATGTAAAAAAATATATATATTTACGAGTATGTAAAAAAAAAATATTTACGAGTATGTAAAAAAAAGTATTTACGAGTATGTAAAAAAAAAAAATATTTACGAGTATGTAAAAAAATAATTTACGTGTATGTCATGGATCTTTATGCTCTAAGAAATCAATTAAATCCAGGGGAAGAATTAATTAAAAACAAAACCCTGGGATTTCTTCACCACACAAGAAACTATTATATTCACAAGAAAATACTTACGAGTATGTAAAAAAAAATATTTACGAGTATGTAAAAAAAAAAATATTTACGAGTATGTAAAAAAAAATATTTACGAGTATGTAAAAAAAAATATATATTTACGAGTATGCATGGATTATATGCTCTAAGAAATCAATTAAATCCAGGGGAAGAATTACTTAAAAAAAAGCGCTGGGATTCTTTCACCACAAGAAACTATTATATTCAGAAGAAAATATTACGAGTATGTAAAAAAAAAAATATTTACGAGTATGTAAAAAAAAATGATAATTACGAGTATGTAAAAAAAAAAAAATATTGACGAGTATGTAAAAAAAAAAAAATATTTACGAGTATGTAAAAAAAAAAAATATTTACGAGTATGTAAAAAAAAAAAATATTTACGAGTATGTCATGGATTATATGCTCTAAGAAATCAATTAAATCCAGGGGAAGAATTAATAATAAAAAAAGCGCTGGAATTCTTTCACCACAAGAAACTATTATATTCACAAGAAAATACTTACGAGTATGTAAAAAAAAATATATATTTACGAGTATGTAAAAAAATATTTACGAGTATGTAAAAAAAAAATATTTACGAGTATGTAAAAAAAATATATATTTACGAGTATGCCATGGATCATATGCTCTAAGAAATCAGTTAAATCCAGGGAAAATTAATAAAAAAGGGCTGGAATTCTTTCACCACAAGAAACATATTCACAAAAATACTATGTAAAAAAAATATTTACGAGTATGTAAAAAAAAATATTTACGAGTATGCCATGGATTATATGCTCTAAGAAATCAATTAAATCCAGGGGAAGAATGAATAAAGAAAAAAAAAAAAAAAAGCGCTGGATTCTTTCACCACACAAGAAACTATTATATTCAAAGAAAATACTTACGAGTATGTAAAAAAAAAAAATTACGAGTATGCCTGGATCTTATGCTCTAAGAAAAAATTAAATCCAGGGGAAGAATTAATTTTAAAAAACAAAGCGCTGGAATTACTTTCACCACAAAGAAACTATTATATTTACACACAAAAATATTTACGAGTATGTAAAAAAAAATATTTCGAGTATGTAAAAAAAAAATATTACGAGTATGTAAAAAAAAAAATAATTACGAGTATGTAAAAAAATATATATATTTACGAGTATGTAAAAAAAAAATATTTACGAGTATGTAAAAAAATAATATTTACGAGTATGTAAAAAAAATATTTACGAGTATGTAAAAAAAATAAAAAAAATAAAAAATATTTACGTGTATGCCACGGATCATATGCTCTAAGAAATCAATCAAAACCAGAGAAAGAACGAAATAAAAAAACAAAAAAACAAAACGCTGGAATTCCTTCATCAAAGATTCTATTTTCAGATTCAAGAATGTGGACGAAGCGAAAGTTCAAGATCGTCGCCGTCTTCGGGATGTCGCTGCTTTACTGTCTGGCTGTAAGACTGCCTTTCTCCTTTGACGTGTGTGTGTGTGTGTGTGTGTGCGTGTGTGGGTGTGTTCGTGTGTGTGTGCGTGTTTGGGTGTGGGTGTGTGTGTGCGTGGGTGGGTGTGGGTGTGGGTGTGCTGTGTGTGTGTGTGTGTGTGTGTGTGTGTGTGTGTGTGGTGTGTGTGTGTGTGTGTGTGTGTGTTGTGGTGTGTGTGTGTGCGTGTGTGTTCGTGTGTGGGTGTGTCTATGTGTGTGTGTGTCTATGTGTGTGTGTGTGTGTATACGTACATATAGATAGCTAGTTAGATATGATAATAATAACATTAATGAATAATAATATAAATGATAGGATAATAATGATGATAATGATAATATAATAATGATGATGAATGATAACAATAATGATAATAATAATGATAATAATAACGATAATAATAATGATAATAATAATAATAATAATAACAATGATATTAATGATAATAATAATAATAATAGTAATGATAATATTAATGGTAATAATTTTAATGGCAATGATAATAAAGTGATAATAATGACGACAATCTTATTAGCATAATCATTACTACTACTTTCAGCATCACCTACCAACATATCACAGTGCACCCCCCCCTTTTTTTCCCTAGATCCGCCACTGATAATGTCACCAAGCTACACCCACCTACACGTGCGTATGTATTCCGTATTAATAT